GCGCTGTAAGATTTGATAGAGCGCGCCATATCCAAAATCGATGAAGCACTGAGGGTAGGAGCTGGCTGGTTAACAAGAGGGGCCCCGTGTTGTTTTTCCACGATGAAGGGAATGACTTCAGTCCTCGAAGGCCGGAACCTGGCGTCCTCCTCTGCGGCCAGAGCAGCGAGCCTGCCCCGCATACCAGCAACCTCTGCAAGAAATAAACAGAGTAAAATGGATTAGTACCGGTTGAACTATTTCTCCGCTCCCGAATCAAAGAGGAGGATTCACACCTTTCTTCTTCTTACCGGCTTGTTCCCCATGACGTGGGGGAACCCCGCTCTTCACCCCGACGTCTACCTCAGGCATGGTGGCGTCGGGCATGCCCCTACTTGCAACGGGTACCACGGACTGGGGGGCAACACCCTGCCCGCTCTTCACCCCGGCGTCTACCTCGGGCATGGTGGCGTCGGACACGCTCCTACTTGCATCAGGTACCACGGACTGGGGGGCAACACCCTGCGCCGTAACTAGGCCTGCTTGAAAAAAAGAAGAAGAAGGAATAAATAATAAAAATAAACAAGAGGGTGGTGGAGTTATTTCAGTCGGGTCTTTCTCCTCTTGAATTAGAGTGGAGTTCACACCTTTTCCGTCCATGGCAACCTGCTCTTCACGGAACGGGGAGGCCCCGCGCTTCTCCCCAAGATTGGGCGGACATAAATTCGCACCAGGCGCAGGAGGTGGGAGCATGGTCCCCAATGACACATTGAGGGCAGCAACTTCGTGTCTGTTGCCTGCCACATCTGAAAATATTAGCAAATTAAGGGATGATCTCATATGGCATCTGTGACCTGCTGGGACAGAAGATTTACCTGTATACGAATTAATCGGGAAAGGGTCCCCTTGGAGCAAGGCCTCGACCTTCTCCTCAAGGTCAGGGGTGAGAGAGGCAGGCTTGTACTCGCGCATTGAAATACCCCAGGTGGACGTGACGGGGAGCGAGCGGGGAGCGGATGCCCATACCCATTTATTCGACCACTTCCTAGGTGGATCTGGATACTGATCAAAGAGCTTGCGGTGCGGTAATTGGCAAAGTGACACGAACCCGCCGTCATCTGTCTTATTGTTAGGGCGGTTCCACCTAAAGCATGCACGGAACAACGGTATGGATGGTCGGATACCAACGCCACTACAACGTGCGACAAAAGCAGCCGTAAACATATGTGCGGTTGGGGTCATCTGGCACGGCGATACCCCGATATGGGCAAGGAGTGCCACCAAGAATGGACATAAAGGCACCCGCATGCCCCGCGCGATAGATGCAATGTAAACCCCGAAGAACGAATCTGGAGGAGGGCTGGTGAGGCTACTCTCGGGATCTGGCAACATGAGGGTGCAATTGCTATCGACCAAACTTTTCGCCAACTTCAAATCTGCCTCCGTACTGGTGGAACGCAAACGTTCCCTCCAAGCGTTAGGATCTTCGACGCTATCCGATTCGCCATTTGATTTGGGGGAGCTATCCGACTGTGAGGCAATGTCCACTACAGGGGTGACGTTGTTGGAGGATGGCACAGACTGGTCATGTGGCCCCCCCGGAGCAGGCCGGAGATGTCCCTTAACGATCACAATCCGCGTAGCGGGTCTGTCCAACCGCGAGGAGGTGGTGACCTTTTCATGCATCGAAAAATTATCGGAGACCCCTTGATTTTTCCCTGATGCCCCGAATTCGGGCTGAGACGTTGCATTCACCCCGCTGGCTTGAATTTGTTTAACCGAGCCTCCACGCACGGACTCTTTCCCCACCTCGCCACGATGGGCTCGTGCAACCAAGTTCCCAGACTGTGGCAGTGCGTCCGCCTCGCCCGGGGGGTCTCGCACAAATGATATTTGACCCGCTGGAGGTTTCTGGGACTGTTTGACAGACGGACGACGTTCACGGGTGGAGAGGGCACTATGATGAGCTCCGTGTCGTGAACTGTGTTGAGAACCTGTGCGTAGGCTTGGAACAGGCGGCGATGATGACTTTGAATCGCTGGGTTTTTTCCGACCGCCTGGGCTACGAGATCGCGACGGCGAACAACGTCGTGAATGACCCTCCCTCCGGCGCGACGGAGAAGGGGAGCCGCTGCGTTTCCTTCGCCGACTGGGGATGGAGCGACGCGGCGATGCCGTGGCTGCGGCTGGAACGGCTGAAGCTGAGGGGACCTGCATGGCTGAATTGTGCGTGGATGATCGAGGGTGTTAAGGCTAGGCCACACTCGGATTCAAGGAAATTAAAAGAATATGGAAAGAAGAAAAAAAGGAAGGAAATTATTAATTGGAATAGCTCCGGGTTATTTTAGGAAGCTGGCCTGGGGTTTCTGTGACAAAACGCGAAGGCTTGGACGAGATTCCAACCCTGGCTGCGGGGTTCTTTATTGGTCGGGTGTGCGGCTAAAGCCCATGTATATCCGTCGCATGGTCAATATACGGCTACAGAAAAACAAGGCTCGTATTTTGGAATTTCAGGCCCAAATTATTGAAGCTGATGGGAAATCCCCATCCTTTCGCAAGCAGTAGGGAGCAAAGCAAAGGGGCCGATCAAGGCCTGCAAAGTATGGCCCCCCTACGGGCCAACGATTACGTTGACGAGCACCCCAGACTGCTACAATGGAGGTGCGACTAGCCAGCCGATCCGATAGACGGACCGATCGTTGATCAACTTGACTACTCCCTTCTAGCCGAGTCTGCTACTCGACTAGGGGAGTGGGGGACTCGTGTTGGGATAATGGGCCAGGTCCAATACTATCGACCCAATATGCCTGGGCTCGGGCGCGAACCAGGCCCAGCACACGGTCCGGCTAGATAATATGGTCCTTGGATTGATTAGTTTAACTCTGGGCCCGACCAGCCCATTGGCCTGGGATCAGGCTTCTTGTTTTAGTTATTTAATTGGGCCAAGCCCATTAGTATTCAAGAAACCTCTTGTAAGCGCCTATAAATAGGCCGCCCCTCTTTTTGTATTGGATAAGTCACTTTTACTGTACTGAATTGCTGCCGAATTTTCTACTCAACATATTTTCTACCAACACAAATCATCCAACCAAATCAACCGAGCAAATCAACTATATTCCATACCATATATTATAAGTTCTAAAATTATAAATGTAAACTTCTAAAATACCCTACTGCTTTCAAAAAAATATTAATTATCAAAGAAGACAAACAACACATCACAAACTATAGACAAATCAAGTCACTTGTAACACAAACCGAATTCCATCAAAATAATTTTTACAACTTAAACCGTCTGGCCACAAACATTATACTTCGATCTCCAAAACAAAACAAAATGTTACAATCCGGCCCCTTAAGGTTCCCATACCACAATTACAGTGTGTTTCTCACTTCATCAAACTCAATTTTTCATGTGTAAACTTCGAAAAACCCTAATGATTTCAAAAATAACCCAAAAATGTAACAACAAACACATACCACACAATAGGGGTGAAATTCAACAATAATACTCACAAATGTGTTCAAGAAGTGGATATTACCTATTCTTTGCAGCCGCGGCCAAAGATGACGGTGTGCTCCGGACCATAGTGGTGACTTCTTCCACCAACGATCGGAAGCTTCAAACCGGCTTCGACCTTGGCACCTCGAGACGACTGACCGCTTCGAAAGAGGAGATGGCTTCAGACCGAGGAGTGTTGGACGAAGAAGAAGCACGACGTGGGGGGAGATATGCGCAGAAAGAGAAGAAAACGGCGAAGAAGGAAGTGGAGTGACGGGAGTATTTGGGGGAGAGAGGCTCGCACGTGGGGGAGAGAGGTGCGGGAGAGGGGTAAAAAATCTGAAAAATTTTTAAGTTGGCCTTTTATATGATGTACAAAACTAGGGATGGACTCGGGTCCGGGTCAGGCCCGGTCGGGCCGCCGGTTTGTATGACATGGGCCCGGGACCGGCCTGAGGGTTGGACGGGTCCGGTTCGGGCCAGGCCACCCCGCCCGGGTCACGGGTCGGGCCACCCGCCGGGTCGGGCCGGGCCGGTTAAAGATTTTTTTTTATATAATTTATATTTTATACGGAGTAGTTTATAGTTTTATACAAGTATTAAAAACAAACTTCAAGTGCATTTATTTGAAATGAAATAGGAACTACATTTGAAAATTAAAACAAACTTCAAGAGACAAACATTTTGTAAATTGTAATCAATCGGAACTTCCCGCACCTCCCGATCATTTGGCTTTGTCACATGACTTCATATGCTTCATTGTCATCCCGTATCCGCCTGAAACCCCCATGCTACATTTTTTCCCGCACCATTTGCATGTTACGTACCACATCCCGGTCTTCGGGTCCTTCTGCTTATCAAAATTATACCGTATAACGGCATCTTGACTTTCCATCTTAAAAACTTAAAAATGGTAGATATAATAATCCTACAATAGATGGAGATGAAGTATAAAGTAGATATATAAATAATAAATATAATATATTGGAGAATAAGAGAATTAGAGAGTAGAGAGTTAAGAATAGGATTTAGGAAGAATTGGAGAAGAGATATGAAAAAATGTTTAGGATTTAGGAGTATTTATAGGTTTTTTTACCCCCCACCCCCCACCACCACCCCCACAACCCAACCCCCCCTGCACCCCACCCAACGGCTATATAGCCGTTTGGGTTGTCCCCAGCCCACCTCCCAAGGCCATAACGGCTAGTAACTATTTAACAAAAACTTTTTTTAAAAAAATAGGACCGTTGGACCAGGGCCCAACCCGGCCGGGTCACATTATTCCGGAACCGTGCCCGCCACGCCCATTCCTACCGGTTCGGGTCTACACCCGGTCCCGGACCGCCAGACCGGGCCGGTCCTGGGCCCGCACAGTAGCGGGACGGGCCGGGTCACGGGCCGGGTGGCCCAAACCGAATCCAAGCCTATACAAAACGTGTACAATGGATGTACACTAAGCATTTTTGTTATTACAAAAGGGGCCATCCGGCCATATGTCCTAAGATAGGGCAAAGGAGAATCCGCATAAAACCTCTCATGCAATTCTGTCCACCTTTAAAATATGAGCATCAATAATTCCAATAGAGTTTTTCCAATCAATTAGTGTCAAAAGATTCTGGTTTCCAAGTTATAATTTCTGCCCTAGTACAATCAATTAAAGGTACAGCTTCTATACAATACAACAATCTCCCTGATATTTCATTTTTACTTCCCTCGAAGACAGACAACTATGCCACCATATGGGGTGTCCTAATCATCTTGTGTTGAGATCCAACTCTCCCCCTCCATGCCAGTCACTTTGAACACCACCCCCATCTCCGTTATCGGTCTCTTCATCATTAAGAAAATCATCAGACGGCTCTTTGTCGTCCTTCTGTGCATTATGACCCCAACCATTCATCATCTCATCATCTTTGACTTCCTCGCCGCCATCATGGCCCATCACAATATTACCGCTTTGAGGCCCAGCAAGTGCACTTGCTCGCATCGGTGCTCGTGACATCATCATCATCTCAGCACGAGCTTGTGACTCAGCCCGGGCATGCTCGGCTTGGACCATAGCTGCCATTTGCATATTAGCATCATGACTCTCTCTGCCTGCTTTATTCCTCGCCTCCAACTCTGCCCTCAACTCAATGTAAGCCCTCCTCTCTTCTTGCGCAAGTATCTGCTCAATCTGCAGTTTTTCCTCTGTTCGGAATTCCCCATGTTCTCTTTTTCGCGAAATAATATTGAATGCAAGTACTTGTTTCTCAAATGTCGCGGTAAACTCAGCAACTTTTGCAGCAATGTTGTGGTCCCACTGTTGGGATCGAGAGAGAATTTGACCTGTTGTGTCTGAATCAAGGATTTTGTCATCTTCTTCTGCTTCATAGTCCGCAACAACATGATACGGAAGAAGCCTGCATTGATTGGGGAAGGACTATAGAAGTTAAGCTCCGGAATAAATACAGTTGAAGTACAAAAGGAAACAAGTAGCATAAATAATACCTATAATAATGCGGAAAATACTTTAGAAGCCGGAAACTACTAGGGAAAGAAAATAGGAAGGACAACATAGAGGCAAACCGGAATGAAAAAACGTGGGGCAAAAAAAAGATAGGGAAAAAATTAGTGCTTATTTTAGATATATGTTGATACCAATTTTGTTCATTTTACTGTATTTTGTAAACACAAAATTACAAATAGATGTAAAAGATCTCATAAATATTAGTCTGATCAAATTTTCCATTGCATTCCCCACATAGAGCCAAACTCAGAAAACAACTTCCATTGACATTTTTTTCATTTCCCTTTCATTTTCCAAAATCCAAAAAGGAAACTGTGTTTCCATCTATGGCATTTATCACTTAAGGGTTGTGATTTGAAAACCCTCTCCTAGATCAGACTAGGCACTAGAGCCAGAGTACAGCCTAGGCCACCTACACTCTTTTTCCTGAGTGGAGCCATATACTTTCGCCTATGCTACGTCCCAAGCCCGGCTCCAGGGTGACATTCTTTTATAGGCTAATAGCTACATTTTTTTAGAACACTGCTGAGCTAGTGGGGATAGTGAAGTAAGTATTGTCAACCAAACAAGTGATTAAATTTAAGAGTAGATTGGTTCCCTGAAACAATCCTCAGGAATACAACATGGTAATTCCCGCGCTGCTGCCAGCATATCTATTCAAACTTTTAACTTGTGGACCAGGAAGTAATCACAATTCTGTCTGACATAAACCTAACCCTAACGTTCATTTTTTCTTTAAACTTCTATTAAACAATGTGTTCACGAGAAACGCTATTACTCTCTTAGCAAATCTATGTGGGTTAATAGGAAACAAACACACTTGAACCTGAAACATCAAAATGACACAATCAATATATGCTGAAGGAAAAGGAGGGTATTTCTATACATGCACATCTGGAGTAAAGTGTTACCAAGTGCCAAAGGCAAAACCACTGCGATTCATAACAGATTCCATTTCTGGCATCTTCATATCTCTATACATAACATGGAATAAAAAATGTACTCTACAGAGATTGAGAAAACGATGGGGTACAGTAATATCAAAACCCAACATTAGAGGAGAAAAGAAGGGACCTTTCGCAGGCATCTTCCAGGGAAGAGAAAGGGCGTTTGAAGTCGGGATGGCAGACTCGCCAAGCGTCCTGGTAGGCCATTTGCAGCTCCGCCGGATTCGAAGCCGGTGCCGGCCGGTTAACCTTCTGCGGTTGCTGCTGCTGCGAAGGGCTAGCGCTGGGGTTTTGCTGAATAGGGATCTGGAGAGCGGGATTAGGGTTAGGGTTTTGTTGATTGGGATTAGGAGGTTGAATTTGAGGCTGAGATTGCGGGCGGTGGAGGAAGGGTTGGGGACGAAGATGGGCGTCGATGTTGGAGGGGAAGCGAGCCATGGCATCTTGCTGCTGTTTCTGTCGTTGGATCTGTTGCACGAGATGCTGCTGAGCTATAGCCTTGGCTTCCTCCATTTCTGCTGCGCCGAGTTTTTCGTCGCATCCAAAGCTTTACCTCTCAATGTCCCCTGCGGCGGCCGCGTATTTTCACTATTTTGTGCAATGCGACCCGGACGGACCTCAACGGTGGTCAGCGGACATGGCACTGGGTTTCTCACTATTTACTCTCCTTTCTATTCTTGGGAAAATTACTTTACTCCTAATTTACTAGAAATAATTATTACCCCCTCCTTCTCACCAAACTTGGTCAGTTACTTGGTCAGGACCCCTTCTCTAATCCACCGCACCTTTTACATCACCTCTATTATTTTCCTCTTAAAACACGTGTTTAGTGAGAAATGGGTAAAAGTTGTGGTGGATTATGGGTAAATGAAAAAGTAGGAAAGAGAAATGGGTAATGATGGAGTATATGGCCCGGGAACCCCTGGCCCACGGACTCCTACTACTCCAGCGAAGGCCCAGAAGGCCCAACAGGCTCAAATCACAGCGCCCAGAGTACCAAGCAGCCCGCACTACGTGTCAGGAGTGCCTTCGGCCCCCTGGCCGAAGGCTTCAAACTCTCACAGAACGGGTTTCTCAAGCAAATGAAGAAACTGGGAGAAAACGGCGAAAACAGTAGCCCTCGGCACCAGGGTGCCATCGGTTGGAGGAGCCCTCAGCTACTGCTCTATAGCCGAAGGCATCTCACTCGACAAGATATCCGTCTCACATGCGTACAGATCACCGTACCCTGCACAGACGTCCCATCCAACAGCCGCATTAAATGCGGCCACATGCGGCTGCCAGCGCCAACCAGTTGAGGTGACCCCTCGGCCAATGAGCGCTTGACACGTGTCCCTGTCCGGCATTTATTGCTACTATAAATAGCACCCCATTTCCCTATTTGTAACCACGCTGAAAACGCTCCACATTTATAATACACTCTCTCTCTACATTTACTTGCTCTGACTTCTCTCTAAGTTATTCCCCGCAATAACCCTTCGGATATATACCCCCGGGTAGACTATCCATCATTTGGTGCTCTCGTTGAGAGGTCGAACAATCGAGTAAGAAACCCTCCCCCTTTCGCCAAACACTAGTCCTCTACCAAAATGGTGAGAACAACACGTGCCAACTCAAAGAACGTAGAAGACAAGAACCTGGCCCTCGGCGACGTCAACGCCCCCGAAGCCTCTCACAGGGCTCCCGAGGGCGGTGTCATCGCTGGGCTGGAACAGGCGGCTGTCGACCTACGCCTTCAGATCCAACAAAATGCCCCCGATGCCCGCCTCGGCATCGAGGCCAAGAAGAAAAACCGGAGCGATGACCAAGTCAGCCCTCCGGTTCTCACCATCGACGTGCAATCGGCGCTCTCCGCCTTCATCCAAACGCTCACTCAGAACCCGGGTGCCTTCGGCACCCTGGCTCCGGCTCACCCCCAGGTGGGGGAGAACATCATACTTCCCCCTCCGCCACACCCCTTCGGAAATCCCACCCCTCGGGTGAGGAACGACGAAGGGGTAGTGGCCCAGGACACGTCCTCCCAGGAAGTACAGTCCCGGGATCGCCACAATGACAACAGGGAGAGGCCCCGCACTTCCGCCCTCAACCGGCTCGGAGGAGGGCCAGACCGCCGAGGGGTCCAAGACCGCCTCGGAGGAAAGGCACTCCAAAGGCCTCAGGAAAGTGGAGGGTCTGTCTTGAGGGCAGACGAGGAGCGTCCCCCTCGGGACAAAGGCAAGGCACCCCTTCATGCCAATGATGCTCGCCACAAGATCAACCAGGCCCACTCGGCCCGGGTTCGTTCGCAGGGGGCGGAGACCCTCCCGAAGGACCCCCGGGACGAGATTATTGCGGCCCTCCAACGCCGGCTTGACGAAATGGAGTCCAACAAAGCTCACGCCACCACCTCCACCCCTCACTCAGACCTCAAATACGAGGCCATGATGGCCAAAATGGAGGAATTACAGAAGAAGGTGGCCGAGGGCTCCGGGGAACCCGTCATCCAGCTCCGGACTCGGACGCCATTTACCCCAAGGGTATTGGCGGCCCGGATCCCGGAAAAATACCGAGGGCAACACATACAGCCCTATAACGGGAAGACGGACCCCCAGGAACACTACAGCAAATCTCAAAACAGCATGATGATGGTAGGGGCGTCAGACGAATATTTGTGTCGTTGGTTCCTCTCCACCTTAGAGGGGCCGGCATACGAATGGTTCAACAGACTGCCCGAGGGCTGCATTGATTCATGGCAAGAACTCGCCCAGCGATTCTTGACACAATTTGCGGGGAGGCGTCGCACAAGGAAGCACTTCTCCCACCTCCTAACCATACGCCAGAAGAGGGATGAGACCCTTCGGGACTTCCTGGAGCGCTGGAGGACGGAGGCCGACAAGGTCAACGGTGCTGATGACGGGACCCTCCTGGCCCTCCTACAAACCGTCCTCCGCACCGGCAACTTTTCAAGGAGCCTCATCATTGAACCCCCCCGCGACTACATAAGGGCTTTGCAGCGGGGGGACCGATATGCTGAGGCCGAGGAGGTAGAAAAATATCATCAGCATCCGGATCAGCAGCCCCCGAGGGCTGACAACAAAAACAATCGAGGGCCGGGGGCTCCTCCAAATCACCCCAAGGCTTCGGGACCCTCTGATGACCGCCCTCGGCAAGGCCAAGCCAAGCCCGGGGGAGGTTATAAGAGCAACCCTAAGACTTGGGCCCAGCCCATTCTCCTGGACCGCCCTCGGACACCATTGACGCACCCCGTCAGCATCATCCTTGATTTTGCCGAGGAGAGGGGCCTCGTTGAGCGCGACTCTCACGCACCCCCGGAGGTACATGCTATCAACCCTCAGTTCCCATACTGTCGCTTCCATCGGCATCAGGGGCACAGAACCGATGACTGCCATCAGCTAAAAACGGCCATCGAGAGGTTAATACAAGCGGGACACCTGTCCCAATTTGTTCAGAGCCCTCGGCAGGAGGGACCTTCTCATCAGGGACCTCCCCGAGGGCACCACACGAAGGTGAACGCTTGGGTGAACCCGAACACCATCCCCCTCGGCAAGAAGAGGGAGATCGGAAACTTGGAGGAAGAAGAGGAGGAGTACCCCCACTACCAGGAGAAAAAACGCCACGTCCTCATGATCACCGGTGGCAATACAGGGGGCGATTCCACCAGCCAGCGAAAGAAGTGGGCTCAATCGCCCTACGTGGGGGAAGTCACTCATATGCCCCCGGTAAAGAGACTGAGGGAGGAGCCCATCACCTTCACCAACGCAGATCTCCCCCCTACTTCTTCTCCTCACAGGGATGCCTTGGTGATTCGGACGGAGATAAACGACACCATCATTCACCGAACTTACATTGACACGGGCAGCTCCGTCAATGTAATGTACCTCAGCACCTTCAGAGAGCTGCATCTGGAGAGGGGGTCCCTTCGGCCCATTAAGACCCCTCTTGCCGGTTTCACCGGCGATACTATTGATTCCGAGGGGGTAATAACCCTCCCGGTGATCTTCGGCGACGAGCTCCATAGAGCCCAGCTCGAAGTGGAGTTCGTCGTCGTCAACATTGACTGTGCCCACAACATCATCATCGGCCGGCCAGCCCTCGAGGACCTCGAGGCCATCATCTCCATGAGGCACCTCTGCCTCAAGTTCCCCGCCGAGGGGGGCATTGGCTACTCCCGGGGGAATCAGAAAATTGTCCGCGCCTGCTATCTTCAAGTCACTAAGAAGGTAAGTAAGACGGAATTCCGTGTTGACACCATCACCGGAACCATCGACCAAGAGGAAAGAAGGCCGAGGGCTGAACCGGCCGAGGACGTAGAAGACTTTGCACTCGATCCGGCCCAGCCGGAGAGAGTCGTGAAGATTGGAGCCCAGCTCCCTGAAGATCTGAAGAACGGTATCACCGACGCCCTCCGCGCCTACTCCACTGTCTTTGCATGGGGGCCGGAGGACATGCCGGGAATCAGCCGAAGGGTCATCACCCACCGCCTCTCGGTGGACCCCTCGGCAAAAGCAGTACAACAACGAAGCAGACCCCTCTCCGCCGAGAGGAGGGAATTTGTGAAGAAGGAGGTCGCCATGCTCCTCTCAATTAAGCACATCAAGGAGGTGAAATACCCCTCATGGCTAGCAAATGTAGTCCTCGCACAGAAGCCCCCTACCTTCCGCATGTGCGTGGACTACACCGATCTCAACAAGGCGTGCCCTATGGATCCATTCCCTCTACCAAATATTGATCAACTGGTGGATGAGACCGCGGGGTGTGAGATCATGTCCTTCCTCGATGCCTTCCGAGGGTATCACCAAATTTTCATGCACGAGGAAGACGCCGAAAAAACTGCCTTCATGACTCCCGAGGGCATCTTCTGCTACCTAGTAATGGCCTTCGGCCTAAAGAACTCAGGGGCCACTTACACCCGGATGGTGGCCCGAGTCTTTCAAGCCGTCCTAGGGCGCACCATGGAGGCCTATGTTGACGACATGATCGTCAAGAGCAAACAATCTTCCAACCATGCTGACGACCTCCGGGAAATCTTCGCCATCATGCAAAAGTTCAGCCTTCGGCTGAACCCGAAGAAGTGCACCTTCGGCGTCCAAGGGGGCAAATTCTTGGGCTACATGGTGAGTCGAAGGGGTATTGAGGCCAATCCCAAGAAGATCCAGGCCATCATCGACATGGAACCCCCGCGCAATGTGAAGGAAGTTCAACGGTTGACGGGCCGCCTGGCAGCCCTCAACCGCTTTCTATCTAAATCAGCGGAGAAGTCTTTACCCTTCTTCTAAATCATGAGGAAGACGGCTGGTTTTCAATGGACTTCAGAATGCCAGGAGGCTTTCGACGAGCTCAAACGATATCTATCTTCACCTCCTGTGCTCTCCAAACCCAAGGTGGGGGAGACCCTCTATCTCTACCTTGGGGTCAGCCCGGCGGCCATCAGCTCCGTACTCATCCGGGAGGAAGACGGCATCCAGCATGCCATCTTCTATGTAAGCAAGACTCTAAGGGAGGCCGAGCTCAGGTACTCCCCTGTGGAAAAAACGGTGTTAGCCATCGTTTGGACCGTCAAGAAGTTGGGCCACTACTTTCAGGCTCACCCGGTTCAGGTCCTCACCCATCAACCCCTCGGCGCCCTCATGAGGAGCCCCACCAGCTCCTCCCGCATGGTGAAATGGGCTATCTTCTTGAGCCAGTACAAC